CGAGCCGCTGGGGTCCCGGGCCCGATCGTGGTAGCGGGCCTGTTTCCTGAGGAAGTCCTCAGCGCGCTGCTGGCCGAGGCGCTGGTCCACGGTGGGCTCAGCCGCCCGGCTCTTGTTGGTGTTGTTGTTGCGGTTCTCCTGCGGGTCCACCACAAGCGGCCGGTCCAAGTGCGTCTTCATGTCAGGCCGCAGGTGCCGGGTGTAGGCAGCCTTCCAGCGCTCGTCCGGGTCCATTTCGTTGTACAGGGCCTCCCGGCTGGCCAGCAAGTTCTGCTTTCGCATCTCACTGGTCCGCTGCTCCCACACGGATTTGGCTGGCTTTTGATTCTTCTGTTGCTCTTTCCTGCAGTGGGGTGATTACAGGACTTAGAGCGTTGGTAGGCACTGTAGCTTGGATGGATGGCCCAGGCTAACCAACCCACATCTCAGCCTCCTACTCCTGCTCTCCACCCTCTACTCCCCACTGGATGCTAGAAGGAGCCTGTGAGCACCTGAGTCAGGGCCCAGCCTCCTCTGCTCAAGAACCCTCATGGCTCCCACCTGACTAGGAGCAAAAGCCCAAGCCCTCCCCCTGACCCAGAAGGCCCTGTGTAATCTGCTTGGCACCTCCTTGCCCTCACCTCCTCACACTTACTATTCGATTCCAGTCACACAGGCCTCCTTCACATCAGGCATGTTCCTGACTCAGGGCCGTTGCCTATGCTGTTCCCTCTGCCTGGGATACTCTTCCCCAGGCCCCCCAATGGCTCCTCCTTCACCTCCTTCAGGCCATGTAACCTTCTAGGTGAATAGTCCCCAAGCTTTTTGGCACCGGGGGCCAATTTTGTGGAAGACAGTTTTTCCACAGACCCAGGTGTGGGGAGTGGTTTGGGGATGAAACTGTTTCACCTGAGATCCTCAGGCATTAGATTCTTAAAGGGGGCCCGCAACCTAGATCCCTCAGATGCACAGTTCTCAATAGTGTTTGTGTTCCTATGAGAATCTAATGCCGCCTGCTGATCTGACAGCAGGTGGAGCTCAGGCGCTAATGCTTGCTTGCCCACTGTTCACCTCCTGCTGTGCGGCCCCATTCCTAATAGGTCTTGGACTGGTCCCAGTCCACAGCCCAGGGACTGGTGACCCCTATTCTAGGTGATGCCTTCCCTGATAACTTTGTTTAAAATCACAACTGTCTTCACTTCCAGCATTTTCTTTTTTTTTTTTTTTTTTAGACGGAGTCTCGCTCTGTCGCCCAGGCTGGAGTGCAGTGCCCAGATCTCAGCTCACTGCAAGCTCCGCCTCCCGAGTTTATGCCATTCTCCTGCCTCAGCCTCCTGAGTAGCTGGGACTACAGGCGCCCGCCACCTCGCCTGGCTAGTATTTTGTATTTTTTTAGTAGAGACGGGGTTTCACCGAGTTAGCCAGGATGGTCTCGATCTCCTGACCTTGTGATCCACCCGTCTTGGCCTCCCAAAGTGCTGGGATTACAGGCTTGAGCCACCGCGCCTGGCCACTTCCAGTATTTTCTATTTCCCTCCCCTACTTTCTGTGTAGTTCCATCACCATCTAACACAATATATAATTTACTTATTTATCTAGTTTATTGACTCCTTCCCTTGCTAGAATGGCTACACACAGGTAGGATTTTTTTTTTCTCCTTGTTAATGCTGTATACCCAGAAGTTAGAACAGTGCTGGGTACATAATAGCTGCTAATTAAATATTTATTGAGTAAAAGTGGGTGGAAGGACAAGAAGTGTCTCTTCCGAAAGCTCAATTCTGTCAAGGACCACCCCCAACGCTTCCCAAATCTGTGCCTGGGATAGCGTGGAGGTTGAGGAGCCGGGGGAGCATCCCAGGGATTAGGGGCACTTACATAGCTATGGACATGTTGGCCGCGGACAGAGGACTCACTTCTGCCACCTCCTTGGCTTTCTGTAGGGCAAGTTTCTGGTTGGCTGCTTCTTCCTCCTCTTGCTCGTCCTAAAAGGCACATGGAATCTTTGTTCACAAAACATGAACTAGGCCCTGGGGACTCACTTCTGACCCTGTTGCTGACCAGGGGCAACATTTGAAATATTTAAAAATAGGTTTGGCTTGAGTATCGACCAATCGGAACCAAGGCTCCCCAATTGGAATGGGTACCTGCTATTGGTTAAGTGTACTGCTATCCCCTCTATGTATAAGCTTGACATCTAACTCATTATGAAGCCTATCTTCACACACAACCAGATGACAAAAAATGAAAATGTCCCTTCTCTTCCTACAATGAAGACTCTCCTGCAGTCGGTTTTTTTTTTTTTTCTTTCTTTTTTCTTTTGCTTGTTTGTTTTCAGAGACAGAGTCTCCCTTGGTTGCCCATCCTAGAGTGCAATGGCACAATCATAGCTCACTGTAACCTTGAACTCCTGGACTTAAGCAATCCTCCCACCTCAGCCTCCCAAGCAACTGGGACTACAGATGCACGCCACTATGCCCAGATAAATTTAATTTTTTTTTTTTTTTCCTTTTTGGAGAGACAGGGTCTCACTATGTTGCCCAGGCTGGTCTTGAACTTCTGGCCTCAAATGATCCTCCCACTTCAGCCTCCCAAAGTGCTGGGATTACAGGCATGAGCCACTGTGCCTGGCCCCTGCATCCTGTCTTAATGAGCTGGAAAGCAACGCAAGGATTTTCCTCTCACTAGGCTTTCTGAGCCATGTGAACTCTGAACCAACGTTCAACAAACACCAGCTAGCCTCACACACAGAAGAGCCTGGCATCCGATGGCCCATGCCATGCACTGTCAACAGCCCCCAGAAAGAGAATCAGGAGAGGAATTTATATTCCCAGCCCCCACGACAGGAAGGCGGTGGGGAGAGGAGAGCAGGGCACTTGGGCTACAGCCAACTGCCCAGGGTGCTGCTGCTCACTGGTGGTTAGGTTCAGAGAGGAGGAGAATGGGGGAAGATGTTTTAAAAATACATACAGAAAAGGACGTTTTTGGACTTTAAATCCTTCTTCAGCCTTCATGCAGGGCCTCATTCGTAAAACAGAAAAGCCAACAAAGAAAAAGCAAAGAAAAAGCAACGAGAAAGAAACGGCCAGAAATGAACCCGCCCATAAGAAAAGTCATGGCATTGCAGGACAGCTCTCCCGCTGTGCTCCGAACTACTGGAACGGGGAGCAACCTTACCACCTTGGAAATGGTCAGATCAGGACACTGTCAGAGACAACATGGAGATGGGATCTGGCTGGCCACCCTGCTCTCATAGGGCCACCCCCACCCCTCCTGGCACCATTCCCAGCATTTTTCAGAGCCAGGTCTCTGGACCATCTGCCGCAGAAACACCTAAAATGCAGATCCCCAGGCTCCCCCAAAGAATCTATAGAACCAGGGCTGGACTCTGGAATCTGCATTTCCCACAGGTTCCCAAGTGAGCATGAAACATGCTCAAATTCAAGCAACTGGTACACAGCAGTTAAGAGCACAAGCTGCAGATCCAGACAGCCTGGGTTCAAATCCCAGCTCCACAACTTACTGCTGTGTGGCCTTGGGCAAGTCTCTCAACCTCTCCGTGCGACACATATCTCATCTAAAATTCCAACGCTCCCCGACTTTCCCTATTGAATTTTTCTCTGTCGCGTTTATCACCAACTGACAAGCTACGTATGTTTACAAATTTATCTTGTTTCTTGTGTGTTTCCCCTCTTGAATCCCTGCTCCACGAAGGCAGGGATTTTTGCCTTTTTTGGTTCACTACTTAATCCCTAAGTCCTAGACTAGGGTCTTGGTCACACAGTAGGTGCTCATTAAGTGCTTACTGAATGATGAAATCTATAAAATGGGGCTCAGAGAGCTTGCCTCCTAAGATTTCCGTGATGATTGAATAGGATTAAAAACACATATTAAATGACCAAGAAATGCTTGTAGGATCAATGAAAGAAAGAATGTGGGTCTGGAGAGGAATGTCCACACCTCCCAGGAGATAAATGAGCTGGCCTTTCTCCCTCCCCGTCTCCTACCCTCCTGCACCAGCCCCTGAGGATGGACACTTGGAACTTGGATGAGCTCATGGCTGGATCAGCCCTCGGCTCAGCCATGCCAGCCGGCTCCACGGTGGCCAGGCTCGTGGCCGTGTGCTTGGGATGGCAGAGACTTCCGTTTCCCTCCAGCGGGAGCTGGGGCCGGGAAACTCTCTCTCCCTCCTGCCAGGGCCGGCAGATGGAGCGTTGGCAACCGTCTGCTTAGTTTGGTTCAATTTCACAAACATGTCCTGAACACCTCGAGGCACTGGAGGTGGGGCTGGAACGCTGAGGGAGACCCCGGGGCTGAGGAAGACCCTGTACCTGTTACATGTAATCTTAACTTAATAGGGTTCTTGGGGAGGGGCTTAGGCTGGACCGAGGCTAGCTCTTAACATGCTAGGTTTGGATAAGGGGAAGCCAGAGGAAGAGAGAAGGTGGGGACATTTATTGGCCATTCCATCTGTGCCTTGCCATGGTTCTGGGTCCTCTAAGGTCCCGGGGCTGGTGGCAGCCCTTTTTCCTTGGCCCCAACTCTGATTGGGTCCCCATAACAGCACTCCCTCTCCCATCCACTAGCTGGGGGCGACACCATTCCTTGGAAACCCTGCTTACTCCCTGTAAACGGCCTTTTGGTTGAGTTTGCCATCTGTTTCCTGCAGCGACCTCACTGCCTTCCCCCTTCCCACCCTCTTGGCTGTAGAATTTGTTTGATGAGGGACAGTCTGTTTCTGGGAGTGGGGGGAGAGGCGCCTTCTCTTTGCACAGTGCATCCCCGGCAAAAGTTGTGACCCCGTTCCCGCGCCCCCACCCCTACTCCCGTCCTGATCTGCCATGGGTAGGTGGTAACTTTGCCAGAGAAACATTCTCCCACCGCCTCCACCTTGGTGAGCTCCTGGGCGTTGGCCAGATTGTCCACAGCGATGGCCAAGAACACATTCAGGAGGGTGTCTGCAAATGTCTGAGTCAGGAAAAGCAACCATTGGTGGGACACCACTTGGGCCCTGGGTATCTGGGTCTCTCAGTACCCTCCCTTGAGCCCCTGCCACCTCTCCTCTGCCAGAGGTCCAGGCCTGTCCCCATCCCTCCCTCCATGAAGGATACAGTTCCCGAAGAGTGTCAGTACAATGAAATAGATGGAGAACACCATGCCGCCCTGCACGCCCCCCTGAGACTTGATCCCGTCGTACATGACCTCGTTCCAGTCTTCGCCCGTCAGGATCTGAAAGGGGAGGAAGAAACACACAGCCAACCCCCTCTCAACCACGGGCCCCTCGGAGACGCAGTTGTGGAGCCGGCATCCACCCACTCCATCCCCAAGCCCAGGAGGCCTTCAACAATCCCGCCTGGTTTGCGGGACTAGACTCCATGTTGGCCTCTCCTCGGCTTTTCTCTTTCTTTGCAAGTAGAAAGGGCTGTTCCTGCACTGAGTGGCTCTTAGCCTGGCTTCTAGGAAAATGGAACCCTGGAGGAGTCACAAACCCTCCTGTCACTCCGTCTTACCTGATGTGATTAAGGGGATTTGCTATGGACTAAATTGTGTTCCCTTCCAAATTCATGTGTTGAAGCCCTAATCTATAATGGGATGGTATTTGGAGATGAGGCCTTTAAGGGGTAACTAGGGTTAGATGAGGTCATGGGGGACTTCATGATGGTATTAGTGCCCTTATAAGAACAGGAAGAGACTGCATGCCATGACGCACGCCTGCAATCCCAGTACTTTGGGAGGCCGAGGTGGGAGGATCACTTGAGCCCAGGAGTTCAAGATTAGCCTGGGCATTATAGCAAGACCCCATCTTTACAAAAAATAATAATAAAAAAAATAGCTGGTGCACATCTGTAGTCCCAGCTACTCAATGGGCTGAAGTGGAAGGATCATTTGAACCTAGGAGTTTGAGGCTGCTGTGAGCTACGATTGCGCCACTGCACTCCAGCCTGGGCGATAAAAAAAAAAAAGTGATTTGCCTAAAAAAAAATATAGATTTTTTTTTGAGATTTTTGTCTCAAAAAAAGAAAAGAAAAGAAAAAAAAGAACAGGAAGAAACACCAGAACTCTCTCTCTGTCTGACATATGAGGACACAGCAAGAAGGTGGCTATGTGCAAGCTAGGAAGATAGACCCCACCAGGAACTAACCCTGCTAACACTTCAATCTTGGACTTCCCGGCCTCTAGAACTGTGAGAGAATAAATGTTTCCTGTATAAGCCACCCAGTCTGTGGTATTTTGTTATGGCAGCCTGAGCAGACTCAGACAGGATTTTAATATTTACCTGTGTTCCTCGTGTAGTCATGGTGATGATTAAATAAACTACTATGTGGATAGCACAAACGTAGCACAAGGACATGTTTGGGGTCCCCCTGCCTGAGGCAGACCCTGGAACAAGGGTTCAGGTGTAAGTGGTTTATCTGGGAGGTGATCTCAGGAACCACCAGTAGGGGAGAGGAGAAGTGAGAAAGGGAAAAGAGGGTGGAATATAAACAAAATGTTATCAAGCGAGTTTCCACTGTAGGTAACTGGGGCTCAGTCTTGCTAGGGAGCTCTGGAGGTCATCCCACCTGAGGGTGAGGGAGCTGGGGTATTTATCCACCAATGCTGCTCCTTTTAGGGTGTGGTGCAAAAAATTCACAGTACTACTGGACTGCAGTTCCTTGGGGGCAGAGCAGGTGACCAGAAAAAGACCAAGGTGAAGGATTAGGTGTTGACAGATAGAAGTTTTGCTGATGCATATTGAAAGAACCAAGGGGATGTTCAAACAGCACCTATATGCTCCTTTAAAAAAAATCCAATTTCCTTCCTTCTATCCATATTTCCATGAGGATAGAGTAATAGTTAAAGAACCCCCAAAACATTAATCTGCTAAAACAGGGTTTCTAAGCCTCAACACTGCTGATATTTGGGGCCAGATTATTCTCTCTATTTGGGGCCGTCCTGTGCATTGTAGGATGTTGAGTAGCATTCCTAGTCTCCACCCACCAGATGCCTGTAGCACCCCCTCCCTAGCTATGACAACCAACAATGCTTACAGAGATTGCTACATGTCCTTGGAGGAGAGACTTGCCCTTGGGTGAGAACCTCTGAGCTAAAGATACATGACTAGTGATCAGTGCTATTAATAATTGCTTATGGGCTGGGCGTGGTGGCTCATGCCTATAATCCCAGCACTTTGGGAGGCCAAGGCAGGCGGATCATGAGGTCAGGAGTTTGAGACCAGCCTGGCCAACATAGTTAAACCCTGTCCCTATTAAAAATACAAAAATTAGCCAGGCATGGTGGCGCGCACCTGTAGACCCAGCTGCTGGGGAGGCTGAGGCAGGAGAATGGCTTGAACCCAGGAGGCAGAGGTTTTAGTGAGCTGAGATCGTGCCACTGCACTCCAGCCTTGGCAACAGAGCAAGACTCCATCTCAAAAAAAAAAAAAAAAAATTGCTTATGTGAGGGCTCAGAACTTCCATTCATGGAAGATTTCCTCTTCAACTCCCTGTCTAGGGGTCTCATTTAGAAACTATCTCCCCAGAAGGAGAGAGTGAAGTCACATTTTCTATACACCCTCAGTCCCCTAAAGAGAAAGAATCCACCAGAGATGCTCTGAAGGTCCCAGCTGGGCCAGTTGCAAGCCTCAGGGAATGTGCCCACATGGGCGCAGAAGTTGCTTTGAGTTGATCACTCTGGAATATGAGACCAAGGTATCTTCAGATTTGGTGGGTGTATTAGCCTTTCTTTTTTTTTTTTTTTTTTTTGTTTCTCTGCCTTTTTTTGTTAAGAGACAGGGTCTTACTCTGTGGCCCAGGCTGGAGCTCACTGCAGCCTCAAACTCCTGGGCTCAAGCAATCCTCCCACACCTTGGTCTCCCAAAGTGCTGAGATTACAGGCATGAATCACCTCACTGGCCTGGCCATGCATTTTATTTTCTTTATTCCGATGCATCTGGGGTCTTGCTGACTCTGGAGGGACTGCCCTGTCCAGCACTAGCCAGTCCCTGGAGGTAGTAAACAATTTAGCCCTGAGCAGGCTTTTCAAGTGCAAACCAAACAATATCCTAACCAGCCCCTAGTCCCAACCACTTCCTTTACCTTCCCAACACTATGCACCTGCCTTAACACCCCAAGGTCAGGTCCTAGACAAGTAGGAACATCTCCTCTGCCCCAGGGCCCACTGAAATGATCCAAACTAGCCATTCTCAAGCTGTTTATTCTGCCTCACCCATTCCTTCCCATGGAAACCACAATCAAGGCTCTTGCCCACATTTTCCTTCTCTTCCTGCTTGACCGTGTTGCTTCCCTGCTTGGTCCTGCATGGTGTGCTCCTTCTCTGAGGATCTGCGAGTATAGCAAACTTTCTTTTTGTTTTTGAGACAGGGCTTTGCTCTCTCGCCCAGGCTGGAGTGCAGCAGTATGATCGTAACTCACTGCAGCCTCAACCTCCTGGGCTCAAGCGATCCTTCCACTTCAGCTGCCCCAGTAGCTAGGAGGTATGCATCACCATGCCCAGATAATTAAATTTTTTTTTTTGTTTTTTTTGTAGAGACGGAGTCTCACTATGTTGCCCAGACTGGTCTCAAACTCCTAGCCTCAAGTAGCCCTCCAACCTTGACCTCCCAAAAGTGTTTTTATTTATTTATTCATTTATTTATTTATTTTTAGAGATGGAGTCTCACTCTGTTGCCCAGGCTGAAGTGCAATGGCATGATCTTGGTTCACTGCAACCTCTGCCTCCCAGGTTCAAGCAATTCTCCTGCCTCAGCCTCCCGAGTAGCTGGGATTACAGGCACGTGACACCACACCCGGCTAATTTTTGTATTTTTAGTAGAGATGGGGTTTCACCATGTTGGCCAGGCTGGTCTCGAATTCCTGATCTCAAGTGATCTGCCCACCTGGGCTTCCCAAAGTGTTGGGATTACAGGTGTGAGCCACCGCACCTGGCCAAAGTGCTGGGATTATAGGCGTGAGCCACTATGCCCAGCCACAAACTCTTTCCAGTGACATTCATCTCCTGATTTGTTGACCTCACCATATTTGAATAATGATAATCATAAAATCTGTATGTTAAAGTGGTATTTTTAAAGGCAAGGTAGAGAAGGAGGAGTTCAGGGAAGCCCCTTGGATGTGGAGCAGGCACTTTCACCTGTGACACTGAGAGGCGTTGGCCCATGGGGCCAGGTGGAGGCCGTACCTGAAACACCGTCATTATTGCTGCTGGAAAAGTATCGAAGTTGGTAGGAGGAGTCCCTTCATCGAAATTAAACCTGCAGGGAGGACACGGACATTTCATGTTGGCCCCACCCCAGGTGCTCTGAGGGCGTGGCTCAGTATCTCATCTCCAAGGAAACGAATGCCTCCATCATCTCTGTCCCCAGGAAACCCTGAGTGGTACCCAGGGCCCTGCTCATCTGGGTGACCGCAATAGGTGTCTGGGCTACAAGGAAGGCAGCCTGCATGGTGGAGGGGAACGTGGGCCTCTGGATGCCCTGAGCCTGACCCCGGGGAACCAGGAGTTGGAATTCCTGTGAAGGACTTACTGGCCGCCGAAGAGTTGCATTCCCAAAAGGGCGAAGACGACAATGAACAGGAAAAGGAGAAATAACAGGCTGATGATGGACTTCATGGAGTTGAGGAGAGAGACGACCAGGTTTCTGAGAGATGCCCAGTACCTGCCGACAGAGGCCGGGCGAGGACTCAGGCCAGGCGGGGGAGGCAGGGCCCCGGAGTCAGCCCTCGAAGCACGAGGCTCACTGTCCCAACTTTCTGGAGGCGGCCCCACCATGTCCCCCATCCCCACCCGTTGTACAAATGTCCAGGAACCCCAAAGACTTACTTTGTGACTTTGAAAATACGCAATAACCTGAGGGCTCGTAACACGCTGATTCCAAAGGATGTGCCAGGTTTTATGACAGCCCAGATAACCTCGAAGATGCTCCCAATGATAACCTAAGGCAGAGGACCTGGTCTCATGTCCAGGGACAGTGTCTGGGCTCCAGAACTGGCAAGCATTTCCTAGGCACCAACCTTGCAAGAACCCAACCAAACTCCTCCCTCCAAATGGAAGCCGGGTGAGGATCCTTGACCTCCTCATTCATCCATTCCTTTATCTACAGAGACCAGGTCTCACTGTGTCACCCAGGCTGGAATGCAGTGGTGCAATCATAGCTCACTGCAGCACTGTCCTCCTGGGCTCAAGTGATCCTCCCACCTCAGCCTCTTGAGTAGCTGGGATTACAGGTGTGCACCACCACACCTGGCTAATTTTAAAGCATTTTTATAGAGATGGTGTCTCGCTAGTATTGCCCAGGCTGATCTCAAACTTCTGGGCTGAAGCCATTCTCCTGCTCTGGTCTCTCCAAGCGTTGGCCTCCACTTTCCAAAGCATTGAGCCACTGCACCTGGCCTCTTATTTATTTATTTATTTTATATGTATGTATGTATGTATTTATTTAGAGATGGAGTCTTGCTCGTCACCCAGGCTGGAGTGCAGTGGCGTGATCTCGGCTTATGGCAACCTCCGCCTCCCAGGTTCAAGAGATTCTCCTGCCTTAGCCTCCCGAGTAGCTGGGATTACAGGCACCCGCCACCACGCCCGGCTAATTTTTTGTATTTTTAGTAGAGATGGGGTTTCACTATGTTGGCTAGGCTAGTCTCGAACTCCTGACTTCGTAATCCGCCTGCCTCGGCCTCCCAAAGTGCTGGGATTACAAGCGTGAGCCACCACACCCGGCCTCTTTTTTATTTATTAAGAGCTCACACAGGCCTGAGAATTCTTGAAACACATAATTACAAAGTGTATGTTCATACAACTACTACCTATGTCAACAGCTAGGAGAAGGCTGTGGGCAGTGGCTCATGCTTGTAATTCCAGCACTTTGGGAGGCTGAGGTGGGCAGATCACTTGAGCCCAGAAGTTCAAGACCAGCCTGGGTAACACAGAGAAACCCTGACTTTACAAAAAAAATTAGTCAAGCATGGTGGCATGTGCCTGTAGTTCCAGTTACTTAGGAGGCTGAGAAGGGAGGACAGCTTGAGCCCAGGAATTTGAGACAGCAGAGAGCCGCGATCCTGCCACTGCACTCCAGCCTGGGCAACAGAGCAAGACCCTATCTCAAATAAAATAAAAAATAAAATCAAAAGGGACATGTGGACACCCTGGAAGTTTCCAGAGACACTGTGATATAACTACCATCCTGAATTTTGTAATAATCATTTTCTTACCTTAAAAAAAATTGAGGTGAAATTCACATAGCATAAAATTCACACTTTGAATTGCGCAGTTCAGTGTGTTTAGGTACATGCACGATATTCTGCAACTATCACCTCTACCAAGTTCCAAAACATTTTCATCACCCCCAAAAGAGGCCCTGTTCCCATTAGCAGTCACTCCCCACTCTCTCTCACCAGACGCTCGAAACCACTAATCTACTTTCTGTCTCTGTGGATTTGCCTGCTTTGGACATTTCATACAAATGGAATTATGCAATACTTGACCTTTTGTGTTTAGTTTCTTTTACTGAGCATTGTGTTTTCGAGGTCCTTGACTTTTTAAAGTATTCAAATATCATCCTCAAAAAATATAATTTAAGGTGGGGTGTGGTGGCTCACGCCTATAATCCCAGCATTTTGGGAGGCTGAGGCGGGTGGATCACCTGAGGTCAGGAGTTCGAGACCAGCCTGGGCAAATTGCTGAAACCCCGTCTCTACGAAAAATACAAAATTAGCCGGGGATGGTGATGCATGCCTGTAATCCCAGCTACTTGGGAGGCTGAGGTGGGAGAATGGCTTGAACCCGGGAGGTGGAGGTTGTGGTGAGCCAAGATTGTGCCACCGCACTCTAGCCTGAGAAACAGAGTGAGACTCTGTCTCAAAAAAAAAAAAGAAAAAAAATATAGTTTAATTTTGTCCACTTGAACTTTGCATGAACTGTATGGACTTACGCTGCTAGCTCCTGCCTCCTTCTGTGCCATGTTACATGGGTGAGATTCATTCCTGTTGTTAAGCATGTGGCTGTTGTTGGTGGACTTTCATTGTTGCAGAGTATTTCATTATATAGATATGCCACAAAATATTTACCTGTTCTACAGCAAAGGGATACATGGATATTGGGACTTGGAACTATTACAAACAAGGCTGCTCAGGTCATTTTAAAATTTTTCTTTGTTTCTTTTCTTTTCTTTTTGAGATGGAGTCTCATTCTGTCGCCCAGGCTGGAGTGCAGTGGCGCAATCTCAGCTTACTGCAACCTCTGCCTCCCCGGTTCAAGCGATTCTCCTTCCTCAGCCTCCCAAGTAGCTGGGATTATAGGCAGGCACCACGACGCCTGGCTAATTTTTGTTTTTTTTTCAGTATAGACGGGGTTTCGCCGAGTTGGCCAGGCTGGTCTTGAACTCCTGACTTCAGGAGATCCACCTGCCTCCGCCTCTCAAAGTGGTGGGATTATAGGTGTGAGCCACTGCGCCTGGTCTACTTTTATTTCTTAGAGATGGGGTCTCAGTCTCTTGTCCAGGCTAGAGTTCAGTGGTGTGATCACAGCTCACTGCAGCCTCAAGCCTCAAACTGCTGGGCTCAAGCAATCCTCCCACCTCAGCCTTCTGAGTAGCTGGGGCTACAGGTGTGCACCACCACATCTGGCTGGTTTTTTTTTTTTTTGTAGAGACAGGGTCTTGCTATGGTGCCTGGCTGGTTTTCAACTCCTGGGCTCAAGCAATTCTGCTGCCTCTGCCTCCTGAATAGCTGAGGTTACAGGCATGAGGCATCACACCCGGCTTTCTTTTCTTTTCTTTTTTTTTTTTTTTTTGAG